AGGGTTGAGTGTGGTTATGCTTAGCTTCGTGCTAACGGGTGTTTTCTACTTGTCTACTTGTTGTTTTGCAAAGCCCCTTTCAGGTGGGCCCAACGTTTGAGAGTTGTTCGAGTTAGACTATATATAGTTGATCTAGTAGTCTAAACTCTTGTTTTATTTTATGATGTTATGGATTATGGTTGTAGACTCTTGTTTTTATTTTTGGTGATAGACACCGGGATACGTTTCCCCAAGTTACCTTAATTTAGTAATTTCGAATGTCAGTTTGACTTGATGATTTAGTTCTATCCTTATCCTGTGCAATCACCGTGGGAAGGTGGTTGTGGCGGTGACATTCCCACTAGTTTGTTAATTAAATTTGATTTTCCGCTACTTGGTTTATCTTAAATTGGTTTTAGAACTGTAATTAAGTTTAAGAAAAATGGGGTGTTACACTGCCAGATTGCCAGTATGGCAGACTATAGTAGAATCACAGAGTATAGGCAGAGTGGAGCTGATATTGGAAGAATACAAAGGTTCAGATATGCTAACATATCATCACTCACTTCATGATAATAATTAGCATTAGGCTTCATAAACAAAATACAAATTTAATACATAAACACTTCTAGTTTTGAGGTTACCTTGAAGTCTTCGGACATGCGGGTAATCACAAATTGACTCCACTCATCTCCCATAATACCAAATCCCGCGGGTGGTTTATGCAAGTTTTCTTCATCATTCAGTCTCTTCCAAATAAAGTTATTTGTGAGTTGTGTTTTATATTGCCGCCATTTGTCATTTGCTGAGCTCAAGCAAGATTTCTTGAATTGTGGCGGAACAATGAAGCTCAACTACATAGAAAAAATATTGTGAGAATTAAAAGAGTAATATGTTAAATATCACAATTAATACAAGTAAAAGATTGAGAATTTGCTTACATTAACAGCCTCCCATATCTTTTCTTTAATATCTTGTGACACATGTTTCCATGTCTTAAAATTCAACTTGACCTTTTCTCTTGCAAGGGCACCAATGTAACTTCGCAGTTCTGCAAAGCTTTGTCCAATTGGTTGTCCCAAATCATTGAACTTTGCATCTTTCTTTAGTCCCTTTTGTTCCTCATCATCATGTACCTCTTTTCCCTTTTGTTCTTCATCACCATGTACCTCTTTTCCCTTTTGTTCTTCATCACCATGTACCTCTTTTCCCTTTTGTTCCTCATAATGATGTTCAGTTTTGTTCTTTTTACGACCAGCCATAAAGCCCGCAAACCTAATAAGCATAAAAATTAAAAACAAAATTATTACAAGTCATAGAAAAGTAACAATGTGTAGAACACATACATAGTCAAATTTAAAATATAAGGTTTGAAAAGTAATTATACACTAACTAGCTAGGAGTTACGTTCTTATTCTCAACCCAAGTCCCATCACAATCTTCTCGAATGCATGGCAGTTCACTCTCATCTTTATCGTCAACATTCATAGATGGCATCTCTTTCGTAAAGCATTGGTGATGGATTATTGTTTCATCCATCTCAGTCCCATCTTGATATTCAAAGTAATCCCGATTAGGAGTTGCAAGCACGACAAGCCATATAGGATCTTGAGGTTCTTGAATATAAAATACTTGCTTGGCTTGACTCCCCAAGATAAAAGAATCAGATTTGAATCCAATCCTATTGAGGTTTACTAATCCCGATTAGGAGTTGCAAGCACGACAGACCATATAGGATCTTGAGGGTCTTTGTAGTGTTGTTTATTCAAGTACACTTAAAGACAACATATCAAAGACAACGGTTAAATAAAACCGTTGTCGTTGAAGTGTTGTCTTTTCTCAAATTGCACAAAGACAAAACACTTATAACAACGGTTAAATAAAAACCGTTGTCTTTGACAAAAGTGTTGCATCAAAAACAACGATTTTGGACCAAATTGTTGTCTTTTATACAAAAGACAACACTTTTGTTAAAAACTGTTGTCTTTCTAGTGTTGTTTATGTGCATTTTTATTGTAGTGATTAACTTTATAAATACTAGTAATTTACCCGTGCGCTACACGGTATATAAATTGAAAAGTATTAATTTTATGGATGTTATATTATAAATTGTGTGAAATAATGAGGTTATAATTTATAATATATAAATTAATTGTGTTTGGAAATTTAAAAAAAAAAATATATGTAAATGGTATATTACAAATAGTCGAAATTAATGTTATGGTATTAAAAAAAAAAACTTTACAAAATTACAAATTATTGAAAACTTCATGATATACAACGTTAGTGGTTGATGTAGTAGTTGTACTTGAGTCTTTTACTATCAATATTTTCAAACCATCTGGATTGTTAACCCGAGATGCAGCCACATACAACTGGCCATGTACAAAAACCGGTTTTTTTAGTATTAATCCGACATGAGACAATGGTTGTCCTTGACTTTTGTTTATGGTCATTGCATATGATAGCATCAACGAAAATTGTCTTCGTTGAAACTTGAACGGAAATCTTGGATCGGAGGGTGACATGGACATTCGGGGGATCAACACTTTTGTTCCTTTGTTAGCACCAGTCATTATCTCGGCTTCAATAACATGATTTGCTAACTTTGTGATTACCAACCTAGTACCATTGCACAAACCAACTAAATGATTATTTCTCATTAACATGACCGGTGACCCAAATTTCAAAGTCAACGTATGATTTGGTAAACCTGAAACTCTAATGTCGCTTAGAAATTCCAGTGTGTGTATTCCACTGCGTCACAACTAAAATATGTTATACTTTCAGTAGTATGCAACGCACTCATATATTCATTAACTGAGTTGACCACATCTAGGGTTGGTGCTAATATAGCACGACCTTGAAGATGTTGCGGGTTAGAATTGTCATTCACAAACATAGGAAATGTACTTCTCACAATTGTTTCAATATGATCCCCTTCTGATGATAATAACATATGATTTGGCATTTCAACCTCTACATGACCATCATTTCGACCACCCATCTTTCCATGACCGATAGCAGCAATCCAATCAGCAAATTCTTGTAATGATTTTCGGTCAACACCATTTTGTACCGAACTTAGCCTGAGATTTTTAGTCAATCTTAAAACCCTGCAACTATTCCATAGATATGATGAATTTATTGCTTAAGATACAATATCTTGCCGTGAACCTTTGGGTATTACTGGTAGTATTTGCCGAAAGTCTCCACCCAAAACAACTGTTTTCCCCCCAAATGTCTACGTCGATCTAAGGCTTCAAAGCAATGTATGTGCATCATGGGAGCTTCATCCCAAATTATTAAACTCGTCTTTATCAACAGTTAAGCTAAATCGCTACCTTGTTAAGAGCTCTATCAATTTTTTCACCTATCGACGTGAAGCAAAACATGTTGTTATAGGACCTTATATTCTTTAAAAAACATTTGTTTTTATCACTTGTGGTAAAGAATAGATCATACAACTTTTGAGGAGGCTTTATCATTAATGGCAACTTTATCTTCTCATTTACACAACATGCTGAATATTTATGGGAATTATATGACTTAGAATTGATTGCCCTTTCATTGTGCCAAAAAACTTGAATTACAATGCTTGCAAACATAATCTGGATCACTGAAGTCTAAATAATCAGCTGAAATAGAAAATAAATAATTGTTAATTTTTATTTAACATAATGTAACTATATAGTTCTAAAAATACGTATCTTTTTTTAATACATAAAATTTTAACTCACCATTGTTTGAAAATATATTATCATGTTCCGATTCAACAACACCCTCACAACTTTTCCCTAAATTCCGACAATGCTGGATGGGTTCAATATCGATTGTTGGCATGACTCTTTGTGCATTGTCAATTGTAGTACAACCATTATGTTGGGAGTCTAAATAAACAAAAGTATAATTTAGATTTGCGCTTAAAATATATAATTAAGCATTGAAGGTGCACATGAAAAAAGTCTCCAACAACCGAATTTATACCTGAATGCAAATATGGTGTTAGATTTAAGTTGAATGCACGAATTTGACGCTTGGTTGGAGGTGATTTATCACGGCCCACAATAACTCTAGAGCAATTTTCTTTAATTACACGAATATTGTATAAAACACGTGTTAGAATATTAAATCTTTCAGTAGATTGTATAACAACTTATACTAATATTATTACAATATTCGTTTGAACTTCATACTATTTGAAATGATGCTTAATGGTATTCTACTACCAATGTCTTTACTTGAGGTAGTCCGTATCGTCGTTCGTACAGCAGAAGAAACTGTGAATTACAATAGCAAATATTATTAACAAATGTTCATTATGGAAGTGCTAACGTGAGAATTAAATACATTTACCATTCGTAACAACACTTAAAGGTGTACAAAGCGAATTTTGGAATACGCCTAATAAATGTGAACGATGATCTTTATGAGCCATTTTTTCCATGGACGACATTCCAATATTCTCATTGAATGTACCATTTTCATTCTCTACACGAAAGAAATCCAGAAATCACTATAGGGTCATAAATAGATAGAATATAACTTTGTTAATGAGGAAAATTTATAATTATTAATTATTTATTAGTATTTTATAAATATAATAATTATAAATATAATCATAAAACTAAACATATTAATATTAATAGTCATAATACTAATCATATTTATCGTATTTATTTTTATATATAGTAGAGACTTAATACTTTGCTATTTGATGAACACACACTACGTATATACCATAAGTATTTATTTTTATATATAGTAGAGACTTAATACTTTGCTATTTGATGAACACACACTACTATACGTATATACCATAAATATAATGTATACTACGGATTACTATGTAAGAAATTGTCAAGCACCATATACCATAAAGTTTTAACACTTTAATATTATAATTATAATTATTAACAATAACAATAATAATAATAATAATAATAATAATAATAATAATAATTATTATTATTATTATTATTATTATTATAATAACAACAACAACAGATGAAGATGATCTTGTGGCCTGTCCGGTCAATCTCATTTCAGCAGTTCTCTCCCTCTCTAAAAGTGGAGGGTGCTTCCTCCGGCTTATCATTTTCTCAGTTCTCTCTCTCTCTCTCTCTCTCTATCCAATGGTTCACGATGAAGATGATTTTGTTTCACTATAAAAATCGCCGATCGTTATAGAAATACTTCGTCTCTGAGTGTTAAATCCATATTTCCCGTAGGTTTCCAGTCTTCACCGATTTTATGTCATATGTGTCAAAACCAGTGAACATTATCCTTCGTCGGAATACGACCGTAGAGAGAGATCGGAGCTTAACTATGATTATACAGGTCAGGTGAAGTGCATGTTAAATTTGTGCAAATCTACACGGTTGCTTACAGATTAGTTGACAATTTCTACCTAATTCGGTGAGGATTTCTAACCGTAACATCTTTACTGTTTCAGATCTAAGTATGATATATTTAGGATTTATCTATCTATGTTGTTTAACTGATACGGTGAACCCTAACAGTTAAGGGTTCGTTTAACTACTAAGTCCAATTAAAGTGTAGATCTGATGAAATCATTCATTGGAAAACACATGCATCTGGATTTTGAAAAAAAAAAATTGTATTCTAATGTTAGTATCTGCATTAGCTTAGTGGACTCGCGGTTGCGAAGTTTCTTTTTGTTTTTAATTTTTTCTTTCAATATGTTATTTTCATATTTATTTTAAAAACAGACTTTATATTTAACAACGACGTCTAGTCTTGTGTTAATATATGTCAGGACTATGTTGGGATCCAGAAAAAGTGATGCGATTTGCTACAGAGATAAGTTTTTCCAATCTTATTCCTCTGTTTTCTGGAAATTTTGAAATTGTTTTAAATCCAGACTGTTTTTCATGCTAATATGGCTATATATCTAAGAGTGATTTCAAGCATTAGTGGTGTAATAATCATATTAGTAGATAGATTTACCTTTGTTTTGGCTTAGATGCTTCCTCTTCAACCCAGTAGTGATTGAAAATGTAATTTTCGTCATGTTGTCTTCAGAAAATGCTTATACTAACTATATTCGTGGATAGGTGGTGTTGAAAATGTTTTCTTAAAATCTATGTACTCCCTTTTATAGATGTTAAATAATAATTTCAGATTGAAAGAGAAACGTCGCCATTTCTTGAAAACTGGTCATTATTATACATTTTGGAATACTATGAATTTTATGTGTGCTACTTAATGCAAAATTTGGGAAAAAGTCTTATTTTGTGTTCACATTATCATAATTCCTGATTCCAACAAATTTGATTGCGACTCATCAAGCATGTCATATCTCGAGCTTGGGAATGTGCTTCCCACTATAGTTGCTATGGGATTGTGTCTACACTTAAACAAAAACTGTACCGGAATATCGATCTCAAATGAACAGCTGTATACAACCCTTGCAATCACATCTCCGATGTCTGCAATCCATTTTTAAAATCAATCAATCGTTTGTCTATATTCATCTGAAGCTAAGGTCCATAGTCTCAAGTTCTTGGTGAGCCTTAATACCTTGCAATTTGTCCACAGGTATGAATAATTAATATTTGCTCCGACAACTACTGGTCTTGTTACTTTTGGAATAACGGGCAAGATCTGTTTAAAAACGCCGCTCAAAACTATTGTTTCCACCAAAAGTCTTTTCAGCACTACCAGGTATAGCAAACCTCAATAGACCCCTCATGGTTTTGTCCAAAGTCTCAAAATAGTGTTTGTGCGTCATTAGTGCTTCATCCCATATTATCAATTTGCTCTTTATTATAAGTTCAGCAAGGTCACTGTCTTGCGATATATTGCACGTGGGATGAAATCTTCGTTCAAGGAGAGTGGTATAAAAAATCTAGAATGCGTCGTCCTGCCTCCCGGCAAGAGCAACGATGTTATTCCACTTGAAGCAACATTCAGAACAATATCACCGTAGCTCCTTATCTTTGACGATTAAGGTCTCCACACGAACGTCTTGCTTGTTTTTCTGTAACCATACACAAAGAACAATCCACCTCCATTAGACTCAATATCATCCATCACAGAGTCGTAAACATTCTTTTGCTCGTCGGTCAATTATGTTACCAATGTTTCATGCTTTGTCTTCAACGATTCCTTGTCATACGCCAACTCTTCAGCTACCAACATGTTTTCACTCAAACCTATGCTAGTTTCGTATGGAATTGGCATTTCTGAAAAGTCCTTCAAGTTTTCCCCCACAAAGATAGCAATTTCTCCAACTCCACCAAAGCAAACTGTTTTTTATCTAAATCCGATAACTTCAACTCTTAAAAGGAAAAAAAAATTATTTTATTTATAAATAATTAAAAGTAAATAAGAAATTCGAATAAATAGATTGGAGTAAACTAAATATCGTTGATTCAGTATTGAGTAGTGCCAGAAAAATAGGAATAGAAATTTTAATATTGTTGTATTTTTAATATTAAATATATTGCACAATATAATATTTGTTGTTATAATTTATATAATTTTATATTGATCCAAATATTCTTAAAATTCTAGTATTTTCACTATTGCGTTGCGCACAAAATTGATTTTTTATAATATTTAAGAATATTTGAATAGATATACAATTCTATAAATTATAATATCCAAGAACCTTTTGGTCCAGTGGTACTAAGTTGCTCTCTTATGAGGGATGTTATAAGTTCGAGCCTCAGTAAAGGCGATAAAATTTAAAATTAAAGAT